GCTCGGTTAATAAGAGCTAATTATGAAAATATAACTCGTCAGTTTGGACGTGGCTCATTAAAGATACTACGCTAAGGAAGACACTTAAAAAACAAGATCTACAATTATAAATTTAATGACTATAAAGACGTTTTCTTCTATTTTTTTCGTGTACGAAAAAAAGTTTCAAGGTTAGCTACGATGACACGTCTGATCAATGGAAACTACAGTACCTTGAGCAAACTAGGAGACACCTTAACAGGAAGAAACGCTAGAACCTCCACCTAAAGTCCTTAGTGACACCAGAGCTACAGTCTACACCACTTAAAGAGGGGCGAGCATCCCCTCTCCTCTTCGCACGGGGATCCCTACCCCTCGCGAAGTGATGGTTTTAATTTTTAAGGGCCTCCAGGGGGTTTTGGGGACAAGAGAGGATGATCATTTATTTCAAATTAACAAGGGATATTTTTTAGATTAATTTGAGGGGACAGGGGATATATCTACAATTAATGGGAACTTTGACAAAAAGTTTTAGGAAACAATGGAATTTATGAATAGGGAACAATGGAGAAAAAGTGAAATTTTTAAGGGATCATGGGAACACCCCCCAAACCCCTCCCCCCCTTCGCACAGGGATCCCCACCCCTCACGAAGTTATGTTTTTTAATTTCTTTGGTTCGAAAGTCGTCACAACCTGGGATTAGCAAGGAAATAAAGTCACCTTAAAAAAATAACAGAAATCACTACTGATGACTCGTAATCGTAATTCTGGTTTAACGTAAGCCACAAGAAACTGGATTAAACCTATTTTTATGACTGTTCATTGACAGTTCGTTCTAATGTCTTTTTTTCTTAATTTACAGCTGGTGGTAGCCTGGCCTACCATCTTAACGTGGTCATGAGTATCATTTGTTCAGCATCCTTCTGCTTAATTAGTATTTGTTTTGTTTGGTTACCAAATAAAAGCTACACTTAAGGTCAAGAAATAGAGTGCTGGTGGGAAATAGGGGGCTGGTGGGTATGTCGCAGAGTCAGTGTCAATCCCTGTATGCCTTTAATGTGGTTATCACTTGAGTGGTGAAAGAGATTCACGTTTGCTTTGGTTTGCATTAGTACGTTGCGCGATTGGCTAAAAAAAGTCCCGCCAATTTGTCATTCAATCAGAGGTCAAACCAAAACCAATCACAACGCGTTCGCGCACGTTTTCCCGCGCTTCGTGTCAGTTACATGTATTTGTTTGGAAGAAGAAAGCTGACCAATCAAAACGTAAATTGAGAACAACGGACTGGTAGCTTCTCGTGACAGCAAGTAATAAGGGGTCTGTTTGACATGATTACGTAAGTACAGTCGACTCCTTTGCGTTATAAACACTCTTAGAGATTCAGTACATGACGGTGAATTATCTTGTTTATAACTCTCGCTCGAAAAAAATAGCGTGAAACTCAATTTGCGACAACTGAACCGCTATACAGTTGAATTGAAAAGCGTACAAAATGTGGGATGGAAACTAACCAGTCAACTGGCAAAGTTTCCTGAGAGGTTCGCAACACCTCGCATTTTGTTGGGTTTTCAATTAAGATATATTATTCGTTTTCTTCGATATAACTGGTTTATTTAAGATAAAGATGGCTATCCTTTGTTCTCGAGTAATGTTCTGATTGGTTAATTCTTTTCCAAGTGGCCCGGTTCAAGCAGTAAATAGAGACCTTAAGCACCAGGACGGGAGCCACGCCGACGGCATACCGGAAGTTTATTCTCTGTCCCAGTCATGCGCAGAACCTGAAAAGCTGATTGCAATCTGCCGTCGTCCTGACGTTGGCGACGCCACATTTACTGTTTTGACGTAGAGCGGACAACGTGATAGTTCATCGCAAAGTTTTGAGTCCTTTTCTTTGATTTACCGTATTTTTTCTTACGACACATAAAGAAGTACCTTTCTGGTGTTTACTGTATAAGTTTTTTGAGGAGAAATTCTGCGATGAACATCCCTGAAGCAGAAACATGCGCTAGCACATGCCACCAGTCGGCAAATTCACAGAATAACACAAGCTCGAAGAAATCCATTCGGTAAAATCTATTGCATTTACATCTTCTGTGCTCTAGTTATCACTGATCCAATTTGATATGCTCGCCATTTGTTTATGCTGATATCTCTCTCTCTCTTTTATTATATATATTTACATTTCTATTTCTAAATTGATGAGAAAGTAAAATGATCTTTGTGTAAAATAATTTTCAGTGTCGCAATAAACATTATAAACAGCGAAACTGGGACTACTTACCTTTTACTTCAAGGCAAAATAAATGTACCTTATTGTTTACATTTAACGTCGTTTAAACTTCTTTAGCCACCAGAAATCGTTTCTAAAACTGAAACTAAAAAATTTCCACCAAAACTTCCACTCCTCTTCATCCTTTCTTGATTGAAATGCTTTGAACGAGAAAGTTAAGACAAACAGCTTGAAATGCCCGTTTTATTGTGATAATTCAACAGCTCAGCAGTGTACTGGACCGAAGAGCATGACAAATTGATGTGCCGTGAGATTCTTGCTGTAGATCCATTCGAAGTTGCCGTCGCAGTGTTGCTTAACATGCTCAGGCGAGTGGAACGCAACGCCGGTCTCGCCCCAGCCTTTACGCGGATGTGCCGCCGCCGTCGCCATCTCCCGTCTTAATGCTTAAGGTCTCTATTGATCGATAGACGGGAACGGGAGCCTGTCAATCTTTGAAAATGGTCTCAACCTCCCTTTTTTGTAAAATTTCAGAAATAATTGTATTTTTTTTCGTTTTGGTGGATCAGCTTCTAGTTCTGGGACAGAATCAGCCGGCGCCTCAGCACATGCGGCGCGCATCAGCGCCTTCGAAAGAGGAAATGGATCAGCTTTATGCCAAACTCAACCAGTGCAAAATTAAAGCAGTAGCTCTACGTTTCATTGATCCTTTTGCTGACCAATTTATCGACCAAAGCCGCTCTGTTCCGGTAATTTCAGAGCGAAGTGTTTGCTACAAACTCGTTCACTCTAGCACTCTCTTGTTTGTAGCGTTGCTGCGACTCACCGCAGAAATCCACTCGTTTCTCCTCCTAATAGTGAGTTCCTCCTGTTCTTCCCCTTGATTTGTAATAATCTTAGGTATACGAAAAACCC